CGCATGCGCTAGCAGCGTCACGTGACTTCCGCTATCGGAACAGTATTAACTTTCAACTGCTGAAGCAAAAGTGACTGGTATGAACACATTGTGCTGTAAGTTAGCTGCATGTTATTAGTTTGAACTAATAGGGATTTAGTGAGTAATATATATATTTATATATATACACACATATGATTTGCAATTTGCACCAGAGAAATGACACGATGGAAGAGAAAATAAGTAAATATTAGAAGAAAAAATTGTTAGTGATGAGAATTAAAACAATAAACATATATTAGAAATAATCTGAAATTGTCTGACAGATTGAAAAAAGCCAACAACACTCGAATAACTTACAGAATTTCTCTTGTTGCAAACAATATCATTTTAAACTCTGACAGTTCACGAATTTTAAAAATACAACAACATTTACTCGAACTTACAATTTTTGTTTTTAAATTTCCGATGTTTCCTTCCGGCAGAGTAAAAATCTCAAAAAGATAACCTAGTCCATGCTAAAATTAATTATATTCCATATCAGAGTGGCTTTCATCCTTGTATTCGTTTCATTTAAATTGTTGACATTTCCGAGAAACATAGTCAAAACTACAGTCGTGAGACATAATACCACCATACTGTAGAGTGACCATGCACTTATAAAAGACCGGTATTTGGTGTTTTTAACCTCAATGACCTTACGCGACATATAATGACCAGGTCAGAGACCTCAAGTTTCGGGAATAGCCATCCCTAATTTAGAACAATGAAGAGAGGGATGACAAAGAGTAAGTAGCACTCATCGCCGTCATGGCTACTGTTAACCGAATATTGGGATTGTCTGTCACGGTTATAACGCCACCCACGGCTGAAAGTTTAGAGTGTGCTCAGCGATCTATCGAACTTTCGACCATTGGTTCCGCAGTCCGGTACGCTATCCACGTGGAAAAGCCCCAGCCCCGAGTTTAAAATAAATAGTTAACATGAAATCAGGATTTAAGTATTTTCGTGAATGGTTGAAATTCTTTAAAATTTCATTAGACTTGGAAATGTCGTTGTTTGTGTGGTGAGACGTCACTAGCAGAAACTGTTGGTTAATGTTACTATGAAATGTGATAATACTGTAGTTAAAGAAAAAAGATGAATTAAAATATATTTTTTGAGGTTGAATAAAAATTAGCCTGGAAATCTTATATCACTTGTGGGAATTTTTTTTTTTTAATTAAGATAATTTGTACCATGTCACAGACAATTTCCTCTTTTAATTTTGTTAATCCTCGTGTGGTGTGTGATATTGAACAATGGGGATTAGACATCATACTCATTTAATGAATGGGGTAGTTGATGTATTTTTTTTTAATAAAATAGAAGATAAAGAAGGGAGGATACATGATAAACTGCTCCATAAAAAAAAAGCCTTGGATTGATGTAAGTAGCACTTTGTGGATTATTAACAACTTGAAAAGTTCTTTAACTTAGTTATTATGCTAAACTTATGCCTTAAAATTAACGTCGTATACATTTCATTTTTCGTTGCTTAGTGATTAGCTTACCAAGCTCCGGATCTGAAGGCTTAAGGCCTATTTCTACTTTATAAAGCCTGTTAGTTAATTTCTCCCAGCCTATTGAGTCAATCTCAAACAATTTGGCAGGTTGATGCTTTAGACAATGTTGAATATTCTAAATGGATTCAAGGTCAAAGTATGAAAGTTGCTGGATTGTTTTTCAAACACCCATGCTTTTCTCATGGTCAATGAGATCGTGTACGGTGTTCAAGGGTGGGATCACCTAAAGATCTTTATTTGTTGGTAGATGAAAAGCGAACTGCAAATTTTGTTTATGAAGAAACTTTGTTATAATTTTAAAATTTTGAGGTAAAGTTTATGTTCAAGTTATTACTTTGAAATATATGATTGCTGTTAAATTTACATTGCTTTAATTAAGTTTAAACATTCCCCGTCAGTTGACGGGTATTTCAGCTTGTATTTTACATTTAACTTGCATTGTTTCGCATCCTGAAAATATTCACTCCACCTCGACTAAAGCATGTTAAATTTTGTGTTTTATTCAGAAATGCATCAAAAGTTTATATAATTTTCATAGTGACTGCTTTGGATACTTAACGCATTCTAACTTTTAGAATTTTGCTCAGTTCAAGGAATATAAAATGATATTCAAACGGTTATTAGTTTTCTAATTACGATATCATTGTCCTAAGTAAAATTATTTTATTTTATTTTTTATTTTTACCACTAGGGTGGAATGATGTCAGCTGGAATAATCCCGACATAAAGATGCCTAACTTAGAACGTCTTGCGCGAGGTGGTGTCATCCTCAACCAGTCGTATGTACAACCGGTTTGTAGCCCGTACGTAATTTATTCAAAAAGTACTATAATTCAGAAAATACATTATAAATGTATATAAATTGGAATTATTATGAGTCAACTTAGAAAAGTAAACAAACTAAAAATTGTAATCAATATTAACTTCTGGTCAAAGCAAGATATCTGCATAAATCAGAACTAAAATCAACTCGGTAACTAATATAGATAATTTAGTACACTATTTTTGCGTTCTTAGTTGTAAGGATTAGAATTTATTGTTTTAGCAGTAGGGTAACTTTGTTATTAGTTATATCTTCTGCTGTAATCACAACAGAATTTCACGAGGTTCGGACAGCTTAGGAGGCGCAGATTAATTCGAAATTCACTTAAACGAGTAAGTTCATCTTAGTAGCGCTTCGAAAGGCATACAGAGTCGATGTTTAACTCCAGCCATTGTCATACTCAAGGACATGATACCTCGCTGTGAGGCCTCCAGCCGGAAACAGATAAACTGAAGTCATTGTCTTACTCAAGACACAATACCTCACGATGAGGCCTCCAGCCGGAAGCAATTGGGTAGACTGAAGCGATTGTCTTACTCAAGGACACAATACCTCACGATGAGGCCTACAGCCGGAAACAGATAAACTGAAGTCATTGTCTTACTCAAGGACACAATAACTCACGATGAGGCCTCCAGCCGGAAGCAGTTGGGTAGACTGAAGCCATTGTCTTACTCAAGGACACAATAACTCACGATGAGGCCTCCAGCCCGAAACAGTTGGGTAGATTGAAGCCATTGTCTTACTCAAGGACACAATAACTCACGATGAGGCCTCCAGCCCGAAACAGTTGGGTAGATTGAAGCCATTGTCTTACTCAAGGACACAATAACTCACGATGAGGCCTCCAGCCCGAAACAGTTGGGTAGATCGAAGCCATTGTCTTACTCAAGGACACAGCACCTCGCAACGAGGCCTTCAGCCGGAAGCAGTTGGGTAGACTGAAGCCATTGTCTTACTCAAGGACACAATACCTCACATGGAGGCCTCCAGCCCGAAACCTTTCGACTACGAGTCCACATCACTAACCACTAGATTTTGCTGCCCTCGTATTTACTCCAACTCGACTAAATCACGTTACATTTGGTTGTTAAAAAAGGCTTAGTATCTGACTGAAAGTACAAAATTATTCTTGTACTAAAATATATACATGTACTAATAAAACTGTTATATGTATCAAACTTTGTAAATAATTTTGGGAGTGAAGATAACATTAAGTCAAGAATTGTGTATAACTTACTAAATATATATATATATATATATATATATATATACAGTGCTGGTTTGTTTCATGCGCTATCACCGATTTTATGTTCCTTCAAAAACTTGTTTTGCACAACTGATTATAATCCTTCCTACAACATTGGTTACCAATGAAAATCCATCATACAGTGTAACTTTAGTGCAGCTAAACATCTGAGATAAAACTACCACAACACATGTTACTGTTTAACTACAAAATAACTGTGTTTTTTTTTCTGGTAAGTTCAATAATCTTTTGTTGTTTTTCAGAATTTGTAGTGCAAAGTGGAGGATTTAGACATTGTAGCGATAAAGTTAGGTAAAATACCTCTTACTCTCCAGATAATAATAATTTTTATTATTATTATCTGGAGAGTAAAGATCTTTTCCCACTAACATCGATAATATCTATCATTAATCTTAATTCCTGGGGACGGAGCGTGTAAATTGATATCCGAGATAAGTTAGGGTAATGTATTTTAATGCTCTGAAATAGCTGAATCTGAATAGTTTAAACGGACAAGAATGTTTGTATAGATATAAATGTATAGATCAATAATTAATTCTGAATTTTTATGACCATAGATCGAGAACAGCATTCATGACTGGTTATTTTCCTTATCACGTTGGTAGACAGGTTTGTATTTTATTACTTGTATCTGTTTTTTTTTTACTGCTCGATATTTCTGGTTTCTCTCCTCAACGCTGAAGGTATAGTTAAAGCGCACCTTTGTTTTTGTACTTTCTGCATATCATTAAACGGCCATTGCTAAATTTTTATTTTTATTGTTTTTTACTCGAGTCTTTCTAAAACCTAACAGTTTCACAAAAATGTATAAGTCTTTACATAAATAATTTCTGGTTGTTATTAAAGAAAAAAACAAACAAACATCCGTAACAGTAGAAAAGGTTTTATCGTTTTCTTGGTTCAAATTTAAATTATCTTCAAATCGCATACTAGAATGCTTGTTTTTAGCGCAAGATGCACTATGAGTTATCAGGCTGTTTTCGCCGAGTGATCGAGCCCAAAATTCTAGCTTACTGTTGAGTACTGATCTCAAACGACAAATAAGATACGAGTAATTTACCAGCTTCAGTGTAGGCACTCATGTACGAGATAGCCAGACTTACCGAAAAGCGAAGACAGGTGAAATGCCTTCTAGAATGAATCACTTCGTTTGTTTTTAACAGCTCAGTTTTGTTAGTGGGTGAGTTCTCAGCATTTAGATTTATTACTATTATTTTGAATAACGTTTTTTTATGTTATTCTTGTTGAGGGATTTATTTCTTGTCGTTAATGTAAGATGCCATTTAACGAAACGTTTCACTTTCGAATTAATCTGTAGACTTAAAACGAATGAAATGCGATTTACTTTAAGATTTGAGAATCTTGAAATATTTTGTATCGCTTGATGAAAATGCATTTTATTTTTAGCAGAATAGTTATATTCATCGTTTCCAGCCGTCTGGTGTATATTTAAATTATACATTTTTACCTGAAAAACTAAAACAACTCGGATACTCAACCCATGTTATCGGAAAGTAAGTATG